ATCAAATTGTACTTTATTAAAGATAATACGTTGTACATATTGTATGTGCGATTTCTGCTAATATTCACAAGATATTGTACTAGCCACAAATTAAACAATTACGTAAATTTTTACGTATGTGTGGATACCGTTCCTGTGTATGTATCATAGCTTTATATATCTATAACAATAATGACGCCATAAGAAACTGTGTCATTCCGTTCAAAAAGCTTCGAAATAGGAACATATTAAAGTTATGTAGTAAAAGTACAGTATACAGTTTTTTGTCTTATCGTTTGGCCGTTCAGACACATTAAAAACAACAGAACTATTAAAAGAAAAAACTAAAATAACAAACTTTGAATAGTTCGCAATATTGGACTCTTTGTCCAAAAATCATCCATTTTCGAACATTTAACTAACTATTTTTATATGAGCACATGGTCGCAACACTTTCTACTTGAAATCTACCACTGCGCTAAAATTAAAAACGAAAGTCGAAATCTTATTATAACTGTTTATTGATTTGCTTCAACTTTTGTTTTTTTTTTGTGAGCAGCACTGGGGAAATACTTCAATTTTTATATATGTTTTATGTCTAAGTGTATTTTAGTATAGATGTGCGCTCATATGTAAATAAAAAAGTTGAATATCCGGAAATGAGTCAAGTTTGGACAAAAATGCCAAAATTGTGAACGTTTGGCTTTTAAAAAACAACCAATGGCTGAGAAATATTTTCATGGAAGCAAACAGCTTGAAAATTGAATTGATTGATCATTCGGATGCAGTACATTCAACAACTTTTCCTAGAACCCAGAAAACCTCTATTTATTCAATTCAGTTAATTCTGTTCAATCTGCTATCGCTTATTTATTTCCCATTTATAATAACTTTACTTTTGTATAGTTGTTGTTTCAATGAGAATTTATAGATTTTTCCATTTACTTCGCACCTCGATTGTCGAAGGTTAACGGAAAATATTCCTAGTATACAATAAAATTGTCTGTTTATTATTGGATATACACATTATGAACTCGTTAATACGGTGAATCATCCACTGTTATGAGTTTCACTTTTTTAGGAGGAATCATTTTGTACGGCTTGTTCGAGGCGCTTCGATATCGACCATGAAAATGACATTCGTCAAAAATTCCAAAGTTGGAAAATTAAATTAGCACTGTTGCAGACCGTAATACACCTTAGGCAGTTCAAGCAGGAAAGGAAAGCTTTTTAAAGTCTTATGCGACGACCTACTTCACTTTTCAAAATTGTTCAATCTCTCAACAACAGTGGAAATAAACTTCAAGAATGACATAGTGAAAGGTGCAATCCTACAGTCCTTGATATCAAGGTCAAAGAAATGGCGACAAGTCAAGAAAAAAATAAATGGATCAGATGAGTCAAACAGGCCGATACAGTTAGTCCATAGTCCCCATCCATTTGAAAAGCTTGCGATCTAGAAAATTTACCTGACCATCTGGCAACGTTGCTATGACTAACCTCGCTACTTCCCAGCCCATGAGGCAGCACACCGCAACACAGGTATATTCCGAAACGCGTCTGTTGAAAATATTTCTCTATCTTTCAGATTTTAGGGGCGAAAGTACGGAGAAATCTATGATGTTTGCAATACGTGCGTAGAATAACCGAGGCTGGAAACGTATAAATATACTAAGTGCAAAAAATTGAGATACACTCCCACACCCCCTACAACCCCCAATCCCCAATGTTTATGTACGAAAATGATTCAAACGTCGAAAAATGGGGTTTAATTGGTTTTTATTCATTTTTTTTTTCGTTGTTTTGCCCATAGACCTTGCGATGCTTTTCGTCCTTGAGATTGTATTAACATTGTGTGAAAATTTTATCAAAATCTGAGCGGACAGACAGACAGACCGACGGAAATGAGTGACATGGTTTTTCGCAAGTAAAAGTGCGATTTCAATTGAAAATACCTTTAGAAATTAGCAAAGTACAAGTTCTGAAAACTACGTCGGGACGCCAAAGAATAGTGTTCCGTTATTTATAGAGGTAAACGACCTCCGGGCTACCCCTATGCGTGGATTACTTGATATATTCCAAGAGGGTGGTATGTAATAACTACACTATTGGGGCACTATAAAGCTTTTCGATAGGTTTATCAATTGACAGGGGAATATTAGGGGTGCATAATATGGAGCGAACACATTTGACATAATGAAAAGTTTCATTTCCACTTTCTCAGTGATTTTCATGGGAACTACTTTTTATATTCAATTTTGTGTGACTTTTTAATGATGTCACAAACAAATGCGGGTGATCAATGTAATGAAAAATAGTGGTTTTATCATAGTCTATAGTGTATTCAAATCTCATTTACGTCAAAATAAGCACCAGCACGCGTCGTTCAAATTTGCAAGCTCCTATTGACCAGCGGGCCATAAATGCCTGGGCAGGCTGCGACAAGCGGATAGAAACGACGATAGAGTGCTGGTGTGGAGTTAATGAGGTTTGGACAGACTACAGGTAATAAAGCAATGCTATATAATCATAGTCGGGCAACCATCAAGGCGGATGGTGGAATACGGTTATATCAGAAGCAAGCAAAAGATTAGATAAAAGAACGTAAACCCTCGTGTACAGCTGACATGAAGAAGGAATATCATGCCGGATCTTCTATAGCCGGGCACCGGAGAGACCACGCCACTGTCAGCACGGCATGTCTTTGAATACGGCGGGATGCGCGTGTGTTAAGTGTTTTGCTGCGCTCTTCTTTTTCGACTATAACAAGGAAATGTCGTCTGAAGCGACATATTAGACCTTTAACCTAGCAGAAAAGTATACGTGACTATTTTGCAGACAACACGATGAAATCCTAGTGCACCTCTAGTGTTAGTACGAAGAACATTCAAGGCGAAAGGGTTTAGATGTTTGCGTCTCTGTTAAGCTATGGGGTCTGATCAAAGCCTCAATGTTATAATCAGTACTCAGGGAAGTTAAAATTGGAAACTGATATAGATAAATAGAAGTCATAGTGATAAGGTTTTTATGTCAGCCCCTTGCTATACGCCGGGAACGAAGTACATAGTGGGGGAAATTGAATCGATCGCCGCAGACGCGGTTGACAAAAAGAGAAACATCATCGGACAGATAATGGAATATTGGCGTCATTTCCAAGGTGAAAGCATCGTGTGGTGTCAAGTGAGCTCTGGCAAAAGTGCAAATATTTTGCATGCATCATCTGTCAGAACAATCTAACCTCAAATCGACTAAACGTCTGTCATTTTCATGAATATCAGTTGATTTTTATCAAGCACGAATATTTTTGTTGAAGATCCGTTAGGTGGAGCTATCATCGCACACACAGCTAATAGGCAATTTAAAAGCTACTTGCCGATTTACTATTGGAAAATACTTTCCTATAATTATTTTATTTACGTAAAGCCTTCACCTGCCGAAGCTCTCGCAATATCGAGCCAGATACGCATTTTTACAGAAACAATGCGTATTTTTTTGTTACTAGAATTATTCCTCTTCTATTTGGTGACGGCAACTTATAATTTTACAATTGGTCACGGCATTCGATTGAATTACATCATTTTCGTTACGAAAAATGTAATAGGCAGATACTCTTGATCAATTAAGTGGAAGTAGAACAATCCACAAGTAGGTTCTTTTTGCTCCTTTTTTTTTTGTAGCTGTTGGCTGCTTTGATTCAGTCCTTGCAATTGATTCTCATAAAAAAGAAATAGGTTATATTATTATACATGAAAATAGATCAGATTACAATTTACCTTTTTGCCTTATGCAATATTTAGAACTACATGGGTGATTCAGAAGTTGATGCTTCGGTGCAAAAAACACGTAACACCAAGTGAGATTTGCGGTACGGACAAGTGAAGTTTCCATAATGATTGAAGCCTAATAACTGTCGTGTCGATCGGTCCACCCGCATAAAATATAACAGCGCTGTCACAACATCTAATCGCCGAAAATTACACTGATTAAAAATTACTATAACAAAATTTTTGGGCTACCCTTGTATATTGTTAAATATGGTGAATGCACGTAGATCTCTTCATAAGAAAAGATTTCAAGGGAAACTTGAGTTACATTGTGAACTTGCTTATTTGACCGATCGTCGATCTATTTGACATGGTTGCGGTTTATCTAGACAGCCTGGCCTTAAGACGATTTGTTTATTTATTTCGTATGACTTTTTGAAGAAACCACGAAGAACCGTAAAAGAGCTGAACTCCATTCTGCTTAGTCTAAATGTATCATTTTATAAATATTTTATGGTACTTGGCAACATCGCCTTCGTAGCCAAGGATGGTCCACACATAGATCGCTGTTTTTATTTGTAAACCAATCCAAGAGCCGACCGCAAAGTTTTTGTTGCACCGCGCCCTGATATGGAATGTTAAAAACCAGTCGAAACTTGACGAGTTTGCTATTTAACTTCAAAATACGTTAGATGAGACTAGTTTTTATCGTATCATATCAGTATGCGATGATGTAACAAAAATATACGATCGGCTTCCCTACTATAATGCAGATGACTCTCGACGTCAATGGGGCTGACCAGCGGATTATAAGCCAATTGCACGAAGTATGTTCTCTTAATATAACTAGTCTTTGGTTACGGTTTTCCAAAAAAAAACAGAACCAAGGGCATACGAGTTCGTTTGTTCGCGCTCACACAGAATATACATTGAGTGTACCCTTGATTAACAATTAAAAAACAAAGGTTTATAATAACTCCTAAAATGCTTTGACATTTCGTTAATGGATGTTTGGCGCATTTTTGGGCTCAGCAACATGCAGATTCGTTGATTTTTAAATATATATTTTTGAAAAAAACGACTCGCAATATTTTTCGAGCAGATACTTCCTGGATTATATTGCGCGTAAATTTTCCAGTAGGTTTAAGAAATGTCTTATCTTACTCTCGAGGTATAGCCTGAAGCAGGTTTTTGGCCTACTCGATTTGCAGATTGTACTGTAATAACTATTTTTAACTGTGTTCTCTTTCTTTTCAGCTGGGTATCATCTACCGCGACATCAAATTAGAAAACATCCTGGTGGACGAATCGGGTCACATTGTGCTGACCGATTTCGGACTGAGCAAGGAATTGCCACCGCCGAAGAGGGGTCCCGAGTCCTTAGGGTTGGAAGGGGAGCAAGGCGACAGGAGGGCATACTCTTTTTGTGGCACGATTGAGTACATGGCCCCGGAAGTTGTCAAAGGGGGAACGCAGGGACACGATATCGTAAGTGGATTGATTGTTTTTTGTGGTTTTTGAGTCGTGTGTGGATAACAAGTAGGGCAAACTTTGTAAATTACACATACCATTGGACATAGTGTTAGATTGTGAGGGTACCTGACAGGTATGTAGGCACTTGAAACGTGTAAGGCTTGATTTTACGGACCGGAATCAAACTTTGCGCCTTTGGCATAAATTGGACCAATGAGAAGGCGTCTTTGAACATTTTCTCGTCAACATGAGTCTTCCACATTTATACTTGCCACTGTCAGCATAAAACTTGCTAGTCATGGGCACGCGATTTCAGCTTACCTTTTTTTGATCTTCGGTATAAAACAGCAATGCCTAAAGATACAACTAAAATACCGAAAGTCTTTGTTAAATTTATTGGAATATTTTCAGGAAGTGAATGAAAACGATGGCCCTCTGTCACCTAATTTATGCGTTTAGGATCGGCATGGGCAGTGTGCAATTTCCCTTAAGGAAGTTAAGCTCCGCACATGACACAGTTAGGGCCAATTTCACCAACATTAATATTTGACGGTCAGTTGGACCAATAGGAAAAATGCAATTTGACGAATAAAGTCGTGAAAAAACGGTTGCCTTATAAATAAGGGTACATTATAGATATAATTTTATGTCTTTGTGCTTTGGAATTAGGATAACTTTCAGAGAATTTCCAATTTCACAAAAAATGATCTGTTATTTAAGTGGGACCAATGGGAATACGGCAAATAATAGGTCGATTTTCTAGCTATTATATTTGGTAGGATGTTTTCACTGTTTTTGACGACTGTTCATGCATGGCAATCTAGTTTTGTCTGTATATTACGCACAGGGTGTTTGTTGTACATAGTACGTACCTGTAGATATATACCGATTTTTGTTATTTTGCAAAAAAGGATATACAACGTATTCCAACTGGTTCAACATCTTTTGTTAGATCAGAAATTTTTGCCAATTTATGATCTATAAATCCACGCCAAATGTAATAAAACAGCACATTCTGCATTTCTGTGTCCTAAAACATTGATATTTGTAAAAGTATCCGCATCCACCTATTATTTATCGTCTAGATATTATAAGTCAGAATCAAAAATACCTATTTATGAAAATATATCTACAAAAATTGTTATATTTTCTTATTATTTCTATTATTATAACACGTCTGGAATATCAATTGCTTTTAAAGTGATCTGCAGTGTGTTGCCGAACCGGAAAAAAAACGGGATCGGTAGATAGTGTCGTTGAGTTCGGTATAAGGTAAATGCCGTCCCAAGATCAATGATAGATCAAGGATCTTTGAGTTTGTTATTGTATTGGGCGCGCACACAACATGTTTTTTTAGGCATAGTACTATATTACAACTTCTACAATGTGCATACTGGTCGCTCTTTCAATGTACTTTGCAAACCATTCTGGAAACTCCTTTTTTGATTCTTGCTTATGGGATTGTGAATATTTTTCTGTTGTACCCCTGAACTCACCTCTCATTTTAATTAAATATTTATTTTGAAAACAAACAGGTTTCGGTTTCTTATTGCTTGTCCGGTGATGAGGTAATGACGGTAATCTACCAGTGTGTACCTTTTGTATGCACAAAAATCAATTCAGGGCAAGCGTAGTAAGGGATGAGGATGTGCGTTCGTAATCATAGGCAACCCAAATCTACGCCTCTCTTGTGCTCGACTGCCTGAGTGTGCATGTATATGTATGATTGATAAGCTGTCATCTCATACTTTGACAATATTTTGTTTTCAACATTTCACAGATATTGGTTGCTGAAATTTCTTGATTGGATGTTGAAGCTCATTCGCTGTATTTGACGGACTGCTACCCCTTAGGTGGAGAATAACGGACTGTTATTTTGACAACCGTGGTGAAATCCACCCTTAGTCAATCTGTTTACTTCATTTCGTATGACATGGTGATACAGCCGCCAAAAGCCGTGGAAAGAACTGTAGGTCGCTCAGTACGGCAGAGCATCCTAGCACCAAATTAACATCAGATTTAGAATTTATGCATCCGATTTACACAGCAAACAACTTTTCAGCTGAATCATCTACAGGCAGGGTTCTCTCGGAGAAACGCTTACAACATATTACTCGTATGTATTTGATATCAAGTGGAAACTTGCATATCAAATCTGAAACAAAATCTCTCTATCTGAAATATGCTTATTTCAATAGCTGTTTATTATTGATTGAAAGATTGAAAGAAACTATTGAATAACTACATCAAAACTCCGCTGCAATATACATAATTGCGAATGTGGATTTCTTAAAGGCAGAAATATTTTGTTTTAAACACTTGGAAATCGCATGTTTCCTAAAATTACTTTCCTCGGCATTTAATTTTGTATAATTAATATTACGTGACAGAGATATGTTAATTATGGCCACTTCTGGATATGTAACCATCTTGTTTGTCCTACTTCGATATTGAGTGTAAAACACACTTATGGCTTCAAAACTCGCGATGACTTTTGCTTGAAACGACACCTAACGTTTAAAGATCCATCGATAAGGTGGGTGGGCCTGTCTAACAAATAAACAGTTATTATTATTATTACTTCATTATTCACTTGTTTGCTTTATTATGTAATTTATAAGACATTTTTTAATGTCTAATCCTCATTTATTGAACTCTTCCAAACGGCCTTGCAAGGAACACGGTTCCATACAAAGCCCACATAATAAATCATTAGTTGAACATTAAAACTAATGTTGTGATAAAAATATCTCCTTATATAACTTAAACTACATAGAGAGGTATTTCATTAAAGTGGAATATTAAAAACTTACAATAATATATTCACATAAAAAATAATGAAGGAACATCACTCGGACATAGTAAAACTAAGAATGTATTTGTAATAGTGTTTTAAAAATAATTTTAATCAGTATTGTCTCGATATCGGCAACTTATATCATATAATCTTCCCAGACAACGAAAAACTAAGTATTAATATTTCGTGATACCTAGATGCTTTTAATAAGGTCCTTGCGTCCTAGACAGGCCAGATGTCAATTTTTTTATCGACCTTACAAGAAACCATTGGCATTCCTAGGAACATTACAAATATTTTAACTTAAATGGAAGTAAAGTAATATTTTTTAGCACCATTTCAAATGCTTATATATAAATAATTCAGTGTAGATGTCAAAAACAATGCAATGTATAGTCTTGGCTCCTTCCAATCTATTCGAATTCGTTAGTCCACCCACCTTACAATGATTTTCATGAAAAACTATGTTTATTAATTTTTCAATAGGCCTTTATAGGAAAACGAAGCCAAATCGGTTGGCGCTGTTACATCTAACCGTATTTTTTTAGATAACGCAATAAAAGATCTCAAAAAATAGCGTAACCTCACGCAACTCGTCCAAAATAATATTTCTTAAAATTGCTATACGCAAAAATGAGGCTGAACTGCTTGAAAGAATATTCTTTTAATATGAGATTCAGATGTTGGCCAGCTCCGAATCAAATAAGATAACTATCATTTGTAACAATAAACTCTTATTTACACAAAACGCAAGATTTCGATCTGTATTGCGTGCTGATATCTGAAGATAAATGGGTCGACAACCTTTTCCTTTAACCTTCCTGTATTCTGGTATTTACCGATGTTTATCATCAAATCTCATCAAGATCTAAGACATCAAAGATATTTTATGTAGTGATAAGCTAATTATAGCTTACTCACATTTTGCTCCAATGCGTGTTGTTTGGATTTTGAATACAGTTTTATATTTAACATGGAAAATATTGAACTAAATTTTGGACACGAGCAATAAAATCAGTGTCACGTGATAGTATGATATTCAAAATATAATATTCAAATCAAATTGTGTCATTGAAAAATGCGAAGGACATATATCCCAGGCTTTTTTTAGTTTTATATTTCAAGTGACCTCAGTTCATCATTTGTATTTAATTTATATAACTTACCTTATTCACTGGGATTGAATATGGGATCAAAGACTAAGTGATTCATTTGTATTTGGCCTGATTATAAAGTAAGAGTGTGTTTCTAGGATGCCTCTTATTTTTTGCTGTAGCAATATCGGCTGATAACATCATCATTTTTGAAGTGCGTAATATCAAAAGATAAATGTGCCAACCACCTCTCCTTGTTTTTTTGGCATATTTCGTCGATTTGATTTATCTTATCAGGCTACATCAAGGTCCAAGATGCCTTGCCATATCTATAGCGTAGCTCAGTTATTATGTTGCATAAGCTAAATAAATGATACAATAAATAATATGCTTATGTTTGATAGGAATAAAATGACAGCATTGAAGAATACCAATACCTTAGTTGTCATACTGGCGACCCTTAAGAGCTCAAAATGAGTTTCGTTAATATTAAGACTTTCGTTTTGTCGAAAAATCTGCAAGATGAGATCACTATCACTCATCAGTATCTTGCTAATTGGGCGCGTCACTTCTCTAGGCTACCATTATTTTTTTAATTTCGCCTTCGTACCATGTATATTTATGTCACGGTTAGATTATCACTTTTGTATCAACTGGCGGTACCAATATGTATTTTGTATCCACAGCTCTACATACTTGTTAGCGATTAAAAAACTGTGTCATCATGACACGTGACACCTTAGCATATGTAATTTCAATTTTATCGTTTCTGTTTTGAAATATCACTCCATACATTGTTGACGCTGTGTAAATAAGTTACAAACTATCAATTGTTGTCTTTGGTCAAAATGACCTATTTGATTGTGGCCGAAAATCGCTTTATCCGTTTATTTTTCTCACCGCAGACTGTTATTGTTATTATGATTTTAAAAAATCTTCAATAAACAATAACAATAGTCTGAAAATTATTTAGTTCATTGTTGAATTAGCGTATAAAATATCACTTTTCTCACAAGTATCGTCGACTGTACTCTTGTTATCAAATCTCCCCGTTTGTAGAGTGAAAATGATACCGATATGGCGCTGGCTTGTCCGAAGCGATATCATGCTGTTAAATACCGATT